TGTTGAGTAACCTAACTGTGGAAAATGAGATCTTAAATCACCTTGGTTCTCCAACGGTTTTGGGCTTCAGGTCCTACCATCTGTTATTGTTGGTCATGCTAGATGGGCATGATTAGTCTTGCAGGGCAAAACACCAAGGATACTAAAAATGAGCAACAGTGCTCTCTATCTCCTTTGGCATAAGTTCTCAGAGATATTGTATTTTTAAAGAATTCACCAAAAATAAAGGGAGGGTTAATTTAAGCACAATGGTGTTCTAACGCCAAAGTTCTAAGGTGTATAATTGCTGGAGGGATAGATGACAATGTATTACTCTTCTTTAAGACTTTTCCAGCAAATTCTATGTGAATGTTTCAATCCAAACTAATACTGATCATATTTTTCCTCCACACCCCTATAAGAATAATTCCAGGGCAACTCTGCAGAGAAATCCCGTGCAAACTGACCCATAGGAGTGGAGTTTTGCAGGAAAATGATGCATTGTTACAGTAACAATCATCCACCGCTTTCAAAGTGCTTTAAAATTATACAGAGAAAAGCAAACCTTTCCAAAGATCAATTAACATAAGCTATTTCAATTTTTGCTATGAGCTTTGCTCTACATCTTTTTGACATGAGGGCTATCTGTCTCTTTGGTCTTTTCATTCTTTGACAAAACAATAATCTCGGGCACAACACCTCTCTTTCTGTAGCTGGCCCTTTGTCACCTGCTTCAACCTACCTAGTAAGCCAGGAACCATCTTTCTAAGTGATCTTTTTCATGTGCACCTGTCGCTGTCTTTGTTGATCACTTTCTCTGTCAGGGGAATGCGAGCCAGGTTATTTTATGCTCCCATTCTTCAAATACTCCTATTGTACCAAGAAGATGTTTTAAGTGCCTGAAGGTGGTTTGTTCCTCATTACTTCACCAAACTGACATTAATAGCCAGCAAAGAGCACTGCTGAGTGCAATTATGAATGGTGTTCAGGTACGAAAGCTGCTTTGAGCCTGCTAATGCTTCCTAATTATAATCCTTTCGGTGGAGAGTGTATGAGAGGCATGGAGGGAAACGGGAGGGTGCAACATTATGCCGACTCCATTCACCTAGAGAGTGGCAGCAGTCCAGGCAGAAAGGGCAGGTCTTGGCTATTTCCTTTTGAGAGGCAGCAAGCCTCCATGAAACCAGTCCAGACATATGTGAGCCAGCTGATACTCTGCAGCTAATACGTCATGCCAAAGAAACATGGCAAATCACAAACAACAATGAATCCTTTCCACATGGACAGCTACTTGATGAAACAAAGCAATTGACCAAAGCAAGCTTCCCAGAACAAACAAGACGGGAAAAACAACATTTGGTTTACGGCAGCCTATCATATGAGTAATACCAGACAGCCTTACATGCATGTTCCTAGGGATGAACAAATACACCTCCTGGAATCCCAAGAGGGATGTTACTGAACTAACCACAGGACGCATGTTTAGATTCTTGACTAGACTCTTTTCCTCCAAAACCAACCTACATGCATGAATCTACACTCAAGAAGCAGGGAAGATGACAGTTTTCCACCTGAACATTAGGAAGAACTTCCTAACTATGAGACCTGCTCAGCCATGGAACTCTCTGCCCCAGAGTGTGGTAGAGGCTCCTTCTTCAGAGGCTTTTAAACAGAGGCTAGATAGTCATCTGTCTGGGGTGCTTTGAATGCAATTTTTCTGCTTCTTGGCAGGGGTTGGACTGGATTGCCCACGAGGTCTTTTCCAGCTCTATGATTCTATGATTCTAAGGACAGTGCCATCTTCAGAGCATGGTCCCATGGAAGATATTATCAATAAACCTTACAACAGATATTGTAAGAATATCTTAAATGCATCTAAAAACATTTGAATATGCTGTTGACAATGAAATTATAGATGGATTAAAAACTTCTTACATCACCAATCACGGCAATGCAGAGGCAGTACAGGGTGGTGGCCAAAATGGAGTCCAAGCCCAGGCAGAAATCCCCACTCAGGGATTCCAACTCGGGTATAAAATTCACTACATGTATCTGTGTGCATATGTCTGTATGTTCCTTCTAATAATGATCCCTTAATGCATAGTTTTTTTAAAGGAAGGAATACTCAGAGGTGGATTTCCCAGTTCTTCCTCTGAAACGTAACCTACAGCATCCATATTCATTGATAGTCTCCTACTGAAGTACTAACTAGTATTAACTCTGTTTAATTTGCAAAATCAAACAGGAGCTGGTGCATTATGGGATTTGGGCACCAACCTCAGGCCATTTTCCTCAATTTCTCTTAATGTAAGCAAGTTACCAGGGTTATTATAAGAACAAAATGGCAATAAAACATCTGTACTAGTTCTGGATTCTCTGGAGGAAAATCAGGACAGTACACTCAAAGAATGCAATAAAAATGCACAAGCCCCTTTCGTTCCCCTCAATTAAAGTCAGCACAAACATTTCACAATTTAGCCTCTCCTGCCACTCAGCAACTGCAGTCTAAAGCTGTTCATGACCTCTGCATAATGGCAAGGCCAGCATTGACTGCAAGCAGGACTCCCTTCTACTATATCTCCTCTGCGTTAACCAGTTGCTTTGCTCCTATCCATTCACCTCTGCTTTACAGTTCTAAATCAAAATTCCTTTGCACAATCGTGGAGAAATTCCCTGTAGAACCCCAGCTATATAATCCAAGCTACAAATGAGCACTGGACTTTTATTTCCCTGAATTGGTTAATAGATGCTGGCTTTGTGCTATATAATAGAATATACCGTATATTCCGGCATATAAGACGACTGGGCGTATAAGACGACCCCCAACTTTTCCAGTTAAAATACTGTATAGAGTTAAGACAACGCCCATGCATAAGACTACACCCGCGTATAAGACGACCCCTGACTTTTGAGAAGATTTTCTTGGGTTAAAAAGTAGTCTTATAGGCCAGAATATACTGTACTTGGAATAGCAGAAATCAAGGTGCTGTGGATGAGAACTTTACATAGCCGCTCAGGAAACCCTTTGTATGGGTATATCTCTTCCCAGCTCTAGTCAGTGTGTCAACCAAAAATGGGCCCCATAGGGTCTGAATGCCATGGGGGGGGGGGGGACAGAACACAGGAGATAAAGAAGCAAATGTTTCATGCAGCCAACTTCCTACCCTGAGAAAAGATCATTGTGTTAGAATTGACTGAAAATATAACTGGCAGCACACAATCTACCCCTACTGTGTCAAAAGCTAGGCTTAAAAGGGGTGGGGGTGGTACACCCCTCATATAACACTCCCTCATGGGGCAGCATAAGCTTCATATAGCAGTGAAGCCCAGCAAAACAATGTGCAAGTAATTCATTGCCAAATTATGTCAGTATACACAGCCATAAAACACACCAAGGGTGGTATTATTACTGTTAAAAAATCTAGAGAGTGAATGGGATTTCTTTTAATTTTCAGCTTTTTTCACCAAGGGATATAGTGGGGGAGTAACATTTACACTCCTAATGACTGTGATCCATGAGTCAAGTTTCCAACATTTCTCTCACTTGGAATGTTTCAGTATCCTCAGCAGACCTCAGCTTCTGGAAGTTTGGGGAGGTTTTTCAAAGGAAAAAGCATGCACCAACCCTGAAATCATAAGGTTGGCTCTTAAAATTCATAACTGACTGGAACGAACAAAAACAAACACTCCATTTATTATAGGAGCCCTGCTGTTAGAAAGAGATACATAATTTTGTTGGCATAAGAGGAAACATGTCAGTCTTACCGTTGATTGGGCTGGCATTGAAAAAGTCTGCCTCATACAGTTGGGGAGAAAGAGATTTCATGTGTGTGAGAGCAGAGGCGGCCCTAGGTAATTTTCAACTTTAAGCAAGCAGTATCCCCCCCCCCCCAGCTCAACCAATCACTGATATATATTTTCTGTTCATCGTGGGAGTTCTGTGTGACATATTTGGTTCTATTCCATCATTGGTGGAGTTCAGAATGCTCTTTGATTGTAGGTGAACTATACATCCCAGTAACTACAACTCGCATATGTCAAGGTCTATTTTCCCCCAAGAGCACCTCAAGAGCACCCCTGGGCAAAATCAACTATACTGCAAATGCGTACTTTGCATAATGGGTTGAGCTGCCCCTGAGTGCACAAACATATTATAGGACTTTATTGTACAAAGCAGGCAACCTGGCATTGAAACTGAACTTATCATCTTTGTGACAGTTATGCATTCTGCTATCAGTCTGCCTCCTTCTTGCAATTAACCCATCAGTAGCTTGCAATCTTGTAATATTTTCATCACCTACCTTGTGAAAAGAATCCATTCCACTTCTGTGCCAGCCAACAGTTCTGAATCTTTTCAAATGTACTGTCAGGAGACAGGATTCTTCTCACCCCCCACTCTTCTCTCTTCCCCTTGCTATTCCTAAGCTACCTGTTTTCAGTTTATTTAATATTTTGCAGGTTACGCAAAATAATAATAAAAATCACATAGCAGCAGAAGTGTGAGAAGATAGGGTTATAAGGTTTTCAGAACCTTGACTGCAGGACCACAGATAGATAAATCAGCACAATTGTGCAAATGAAATGGGGTATGATATCAAAAGTGCTCTTCCTGGTATATAGCCACTATTTATAATTGCACAACTGCCATGAAATAGTGACTTCGTGTGATAAAATACCAAGACTGGCTCTACCATTAGGTATAGTGAAGCGCTTGCCTCAGTCAACAGATTTTTGATGCCAGAAAATGCAGAAATGCATCATTAATCTAGTGTTTGTTTGTTTTTTACAGATAGGCACAGGGAGAAATGCTTGTGGTATTTCCTCCCTCAGACAAATAGCTTACTTGAACTGGGGTGCTATGTAGCTTGACTTGGGTTCACACCATTTTCTGCTCTGCCTGAGGCAGTAAAATACTTTGAGTCAAATTCCCTTCCCATTCCCTTCTCGCTATTATTACTCATTAGGATAAAAGTAAGAAACTTCCAAATACCCAAGAAGTCAAGTTTTTGACATCCACTTACCCCTGAAGGTGGGTTTGCTGTCCAGCCAAGTTCAGCTGTAGCTGTCCGAGTATCCATTAGGGTTTCTGAGGATTCGGAAAACAAAACAAAAAATCACTAAGCCAAAAAGTCACTAAGCAAATTGTGAGTCTGAGCAAAACAAAACTTTAAGGACACTACAGATGTGTGCCTAGAAACAATATGCACCCACTCAAAATCAACAAAAAAAATTCTCACTGCTGGATGTAGACACATGCCTACGCACTTATTATAAAGAAGCTTGGCTACATGTCTCTCACCATACAATAGCAAAGTTCTTCAATACCATCCTTAAAATGAGCATATTTATTAAACTATCAGTATTCCTGGATCGAATTTTACTTTCTCACATATACCTAGATTCCACTCAATGAATGCTTATGTCACAACAAAAGTTCCGGTTTTACGGGCACTGAAATATACTCTTATTTTTACTGAAAACACACTAAAATGGTTTTGCTTCTGGAATGCATTCTTTTGAAACCAGGAATTTCTGATTTTTTCAGGGCTCATCTCTTCTCCAGAGAATAGCTTAGCTTGCTGAGATTCTATAATAAGGCTGACATCAACAGCTTTACAATGGCATGCATGGCTAGGTGGTATATGAGATCATCTGATGGCATAGAGGATCTTCTGGAAAGAGCTCCCCAAAAGGCAAATTGCCAATGAGTCATTGTTTCTACAAATGTATGGGGAAGCAATATAATTTGGAGTATTGCCTTTCTTTTTTTAAAGCATATATGCATGCTTACTGCATCGTTTTTCTTCTAAAGAGACCTATCTACAATGATTTAAATCCAAACCAAGATGCATTTAGTTGTCCACAAAATCAATGGAACTGGTGACATCAGGTTAATTTATCACACTGGTTCTAATGGGACCCAAGTTGGATTTATTGCCTGATTTTTCTATCCAAAGAATAGACTGTAGCTGGTTAGTCATTTTAAAATCAAATCAAATAAGAGCAATTTAAATATAGAACAAATTAAAGACATAATCCAAGTACATCATGGTAATTCAGCTTAGTTATCAATGGCATATTTCAACATTGTGCCCACTGTTAAAAGGACAATAACTGTCACACCCATCATAAAGATCTTTATAGTGTGATAGTAGCCCCCCAAAAAGCCTCAACCTATTAAACATAATGCCCCCAAGCTAGAGTGGGATTTGGAGAAAGCCCCCCCCCCCCCAAAATCTCAGGTCCATCTAGAATGCATTTTTTTTTTCAATTTAGCCCAGATCCAGATCCTTTCAGCTAGGACCAGCTGAAATAGCTCCAGAATCAGAATTTTAAATCTAGTGGAGCCAATATTTCTGAATCTTTTCAAAAGCACTGCCAGTTTACTTAGTTCAATTTATTTGGAGCATACTATTGAATGGCTAGTATAAAGTTCAAATGTGCCAATCCAAGGCTAAAGAAAGCTATCAACTCCAAGCCAAAATCAGCATGGTTTTTGGGGTTGTCATCAATTCTGCACCAACACTGTAGCTGTATGCCCATGAGTGGAGGAAGATTAGGTATTGTTTGGTCTCCCACTGTCCTACCCTTGTCATCCTTTTTTTCCCCTTTACTGTTGGCTTATCTTAATTTTGTGTATCAGTTCTGCCAGCAGATCACTCTGTTGGTAAATCTCTTAGATCAGCTAGTAAGAGCAGATTGTGCAGCAAAACAGCAATTTTATCCTAGAAGAGTTTATTGCTTAATCTGACCACCCTAAGAGCAATGAGCAATTTTTGCACTGCTTGTCTAAATTCTACCCATCATTTAGTACTGTGATTAAAATTTAATAGGGACATAAAAGGCTCACATAATGATAACACAGGCAACCAAAATTATTTGGAAGCCATGCCATATGACTAGTAGTTTAGGGAGATGGGTAAGTTTGGCCTGGAAAAAAGAAGGTTAAGAGGGGACACAATAGCCATGTTAAACTATTTGAATGAATGGGGTCAGGTCATGTTGAAGATGGAGTAGGCTTGTTTCTGTTACGCTACAGGCTAGGATGTGGAGCAATGGGTTCAAACTGTAGAAAAGGAAATTCAATCTGAATATTAGGAAGAACTGCTATTAGACTGTGGAATTTGTTGGCAGGTACAGTCTCTTTTGGAGGTTTTTAAATAGAGACTGGATCGTTGTTTGTCGAGAATGCTTTGATTGTGTATTCCTGCATGATGCAGGGTTGGACTGGATGACTCAAGTAGTCTCATCCAACTCTACAATTCCATCTTTCACCTCAGCAAGCAAGAATCCAAAAGTGGCAGGCTCAAACCCAGAACCTTAATCAATGGCTGGTACCAAATGAGAGACTCCCTCCTGGGTACACAGAAAACTGGGAGACTTGGAAGGCGCTGAACAGACTGCACTCTGGCACCACAAGATGCAGAGCCAACCTTAAGAAATGGGGCTACAAAGTGGAATCCACTACATGCGAGTGTAGAGAAGAGCAAACCACAAACCTGCCATGCAACCTGAGTCCTGCTACATGCACAGTGGAGGACCTTCTTGCACCAACATCAGAGGTACTCCAAGTGGCCAGCTACTGGTCAAAGGACAAGTCGGCAAACTTTGTGTTTTGTTTGTTTTTAATGCAATACAACTGTTTAGGTTCACTCCTGACATGATAAATAAAATATTTCTATTAAATTATGGCTGTATGCAACATGCAGCCCTCAAAGGGGTTGACGTCCTCACACCTCTTATACCATCCTTTTCTTGGCTGAATGTAATAGGTGAACTGTCTTTCCTTAAAGCAGTGGTTCTCAACCTGCAGGTCCACAGGAGTTTTGGCCTACAACTCCCAAAAACAGTTTACCAGCTGTTAGGATTTCTGGGAGTTGAAGGCCAAAACATCTGAGGACCCACAAGTTGGGAACTACTGCCTTAAAGCCTCCAGGACAGCTTTCCAATAGGCTGTATCTCCCTTTCCTGAACAATACTGTTTAATTCTGAAAATTACCAATTTTTGGGAGTGATAAGTAGAGCACATTTTTATTTAGGGGGCACTTTTATCAGCCTGTGCCAAAATGTGAGCCTTGGACTTACTGCAGCTTTAATTTGGGGATTCGACTCAAATTGTATACATGAACCTTTGGCATCTGTTCAGTACAGACCAACAATCATACATATGCCTTAATTCTGCAGTAATTCAGTGCCGAAAGCTCAGGGATAGGGCTTTAGACATTCAGTCTCTCCCTCTCCCTGTCCAATCAATGACTCTAAACTCTAGTAATTCTGTTTATCAGGTTTAAAGATTGATCCATTATATACCTAAATTTGACAGTTTTCAGCCAGAGCTCCTTTTGAAAATGTATTCTAGTTTCCTTATTATTTTAAGCTTGCATCTCTGGTTGTCATACCACTAGCATTTCAATACAACTGTATTTAAAAAAAAAAGGAAGAGGCAAGCACCATGAATTCAAAATGCCAGAATAAAAGATATAAATATGCCAGCCATCACAGGCCTGTCTATAAATTCTATTGTTTTGTTCCGCAGTGAAGAGGATGAATGTGGTCAGTTATTGGCTTTTCCATAAGTACTTGGAACTGCCTGACCAAATCAGTAATATCATTCCCCCCTATTGTCTGCATTGGCATCAACTATGTATATTGATTTGTTGCCTAAATGCCCTACTCATCTGGCAAAAATCAGAAACATGAATAGTATACTATAAGGAAGGATTTTTTCCCAAATAAGCTTTTTTATGGCTAATTTTGTTTTTTGTTTTCATTTTTGTGTGTTTTTTTTTGAGCCCGGAAGAGCTGCATTACTGTTAATATTTTTTTCCATTCTTCATCTCTCTTTTTTGTAAGAATAACAACAATAGCAGCGACAAAAATACAGACAGACAGATGGGGAAGGAAATCATCCAGGTTTTATTTATTTGTTTTCAACAGATTAAGTTGCTTGTTTGCCGAAATTCCCAGAAATGTTGGGGAAAGATATTATGTTTGTCACCAATGTCTGGTCATGTAAATCTTTTTTCTGACCAGTGAATAGGCTATTATTATCTGCCCTTCTGGGATTATAGAAAAATTCTCAAGGGCCTCCTGTTGTGACAAATTTGCAGGACACTTTGAAGGTAAAATTGTTTATATTCTGCCTTGAGCATATTAGAGTAAAAGCAGGATATATAGATTAAAGCAAATAAGAAAATGTTTTCTTCAGAATTGATCCTCTCTCTTGCATACATTTCCTGAAGAGGTGTCTGGCTCACTGTCTTGTTCAATTTTATGAAGTCAGTTTCACTTGATACAACCTGACAATATGGTCAAAATTCTTGTAAACTGAGAGGTTATGGGGTAGCTGTTCCTTAAGAATGTTTTTGTAACTGCTATCTAGGCCCTAAAATCCCTTTTTGGGAAATGATCTCAGAAATGATGGTGGCAACTACTTTCCAGGCACAATTGGTTACCCCAGATTATCTGAATCCATTATGATACAGGTTCAAGATTTGTTTTTTTTGCTGAAATCATCTTGGTTGCCCTGATCTGATGGACAGCTCTCTTAAGAAAGAGATTGAGAAACATGGCCATTTTGATACTCCTAAATAGGCAAATTTTGATGCCACTGGTTATGGTATCCTTGTTGGACCAACTCTACAGATTATGGGGTAGGGAATGAATCACAGTGATCTAGTGCCTCTGGCTCCTATAGGATAACAGAGGTTATCTTGTTGTTGTTGTTTCAATTTGATGCATTAATTCATTTTTTAAACGACAGTTTCATTTACCAAATTATTCACCTCTTTATTTTATTTACCTGTTGGAGATATAGCCTTAAAACACAAGTTCAAATGCAACCACAAAGGTGAACACTAAATTGCCATAGTAAAAATGCAATCACATTTTGCACAAATGGGAGGGAAAAAATGAGTTGTGTGACTAGAGAGCTGAGATGTCTATCTATCTTGATTTCATTTTCCAGATCCCAGCTGCATTTTATTCTCATCCTTTATTTGAATTTGGTTACAAGACTTTATGTTTTCCTCCCCCACTGAAATTCACACAATTTAACATGCTTCCTCTAATGTGACATTTATTTGT